TCATACGTTCAATGTTTACAAGACGTCCAGTTGGCAGTCCTGCAGTCGGTCTCTGGAGCGCGTGAGGAGAGGATCAACCGACCGTCCTGCAACCCTTTTGCTCCCTGGCTTGCGTGTGTGGAGAGGGACAAGGGGGTTGCTGATGGCTTTGATACACCGGGGATTTTCTTAAAATGACCTATTGTAGCTGTTTTCGGTAACGTGTGACGTTACAGGAAGCGTCCGAACAAATCCCGTACTTCGAGTGAGATGTTCCTTCGTATTTCACACTTTCGTCGACGGAATTTAGCTGTAGGAAATTTGATTTGACGTTGCTCCTGCATGCTGAGACTAAGATTCAAGGCGGTATTCGCGATAAGCAAGATCCAGGCTGGTTTCCGGCGTGACAAGTGACGCGGGCGAGAGAGAGACGTCATCCCCGTGTATTTTCGTTATGGGACACAAAGGGCGAGAACGTAATGGTTTACGCCGTTGTTCATCCACGTGACTCGTTCATTGTACAAACGGGCGTTATCGCTGCCGGTCATTCCACGTGAGAGGGACGGAGCTGCGGGACCGACGACCGACGAGGGGGCAGTGCGACGACCTTTATACACTGCAGCGCAGGCGGTAACCACTCGCAATAAAAGGGAAGATAGAGAAGGAGAGGGAAGAGGACGTGAAGCTGGAAAGCGAAGGCGCGCGGGCGGGCGGTGGGCAGCGCGGCAGATGCGGCGTGCGTGAGGGCGGCGGAGGAGCGCCATGGGACAGACGTACTCGGCTATGCGGGGCTCGCAGTCGGCGGTGCTGGGCGATGTGGTGGTGGGCCTCGAGGCGCTGGCCATGCTCGAGTCCCCCGAGGAGCACAGCTCGACCGTCGTGCGCATGGCCAGCCCCCAGATCTCCGGCCTGCTCCGCAAGGGCCAGCTCTCCCCGTCGGCCAAGGGCGGCATCGGCGGGCTCAGACAGGTCCTGGGAGTAACGGAGGAGGACGAGGAAGAAGACGAAGCAGGGGAGAGAGAAGGACCCTTTTCTTCACCAGCTCCCAGTCTCAGGAGGATCCAGCAGAAGCGACGCGTGGAAGTAAGTCATCACAACTTCGTGAACTGTCACTTTCGTACAGGCACTGTCACTGACTTAGATATGGTATCCTGCCTGTCACATCAACCTGTATTGTTGCCATCACTACTTGTCACAACATTTTCATCATTTCCTGTCTTCAGCGTTACCGTATCGCTCACCTTTGTGCTGTGATCATTATTTTCATCACAATCTATCATTTCATCACATTGTTGGTCTTATCACCCTTTTACTATTCCTCTACCACACTTTCATCACTATTACATTTTTTCATCTTTCATATTGCCATTACTTCGTCATCTTCCATTATTTCTCTCTCTCTCTCTCTCTCTCTCTCTCTCTCTCTCTCTCTCTCTCTCTCTCTCTCTCTCTCTCTCTCTCTCTCTCTCTCTCTCTCTCTCCATTCCACCATTTTCAGTAATCTTATAAACACTTTCAGCTGTACATTAGTTCCATAGGTTACTACTGTCTGCGACTTATATATTGGCAGGGCACATCTAGGTATATGCATTTTTATGACTACCGATCATGATTATTGGCATAACTGCCATTACCACTTTGATTATCATTGTCATTGTCATTATTATTAACATTATCATTGTCATTACCATGATTATTGCCATTAGCAGAATCATTACCATTACCATTATTATTTTTTTATTATTATTACTATTTGTATTATTTACATTATCATTCTTGGTAAAACAACATCTAACAAAGAAAAGGTTTGCTGATTCAAACCTAAAACGTCTGTTCGTGGATCTTTTGTCTGTGTGAGCTCGCATGCCTGTGTTTGTTTACATTTGTGCAGTTTTTCTTCCGGAAGATCACAGTGTGTCTAATAAATAAAAAAAAACGACTTGTCTCTTTATCGCACGACGTAGTTTATCATTACGATAATTAGGTGATACCCTCGACGAGGTAAGGATCCTCATGTGAACATGAAATAGTTTGCTCAGAACATGCTCATGTGCTATTAATAGAAACAGCAATCATGTAACCAGGGATGCGGTAAATGACCACTACTTAAGACACAGAACGATCCTTTTTGGGGGAATTCTACCTTCAATTTATCTCTGAAAATATACATTATCTGATAGCCACAAGCCACCTACACAATATATATATTCCTTAAATTCATACAGCGATCCGGAATGAGTCAGTACCCCTCGCAATAATTCGAAACCGTAAAGTATCTCTGGCTTTGGCTCGGAGCCAGATGGGAGCAGGTGAGCTGTTTGGTGCGACTCACGTGGTGGAAGCCAAGGTCACACGTGGCTGTACCTATGCCTTTGTCATGTTTGAGGGAGAGAGGGGAAGAGAAAAGGAAGGAGAGAGGGGGAGAAAGGGAGGAAGAGAGGGAGAGAAAGGGAGGAAGAGAGGGAGAGTAAGGGAGGAAGAGAGGGAGAGTAAGGGAGGAAGAGAGGGAGAGTAAGGGAGG